CTCTCTCTCCCACACACACACACACCCCTCTCTCTCTCTCTCTCTCTCTCACACACACACACCCCTCTCTCTCTCGCTCACACACACACACACACACACACTCTCTCTCTCATACACACACACACACACACACCCACACTGCTCCACATCACTTGTGGGTCAGTGCAGTTTCAGCAGGTTTCTATCTACGGTCTCTAAGGTGCTGCTGACCAAGTAAGCAGGATTAACTTCTTGACTCTTCTCAGAAACAGCCTTTTAAATAGACAAGAAAAGCATAAACACTCCAGAGAAACTTTCACACGGCCCTGAAGCTCTAGATTGGATCACAATGAAGATTTTCTCTGAAGTTTCTCAAAGCAAACCTGACAAACACTTCCTGTGACAAAGCAGATTTATGTCTCAGATATTTTAATGTGACTCTCTCCCGTATTGCACATAACATTATCTGGCCAATTTCTTATGATTAAATGTTTGAATAAGATCTGCCATCAGTGGAGAGAAAATTCTGTAGTTACGTAAGATGCAAGAATAATGCAATTAATGAAACAAATAAGCGAAATCTGTGTATGTGGTCTGTGTAAAAGAGTCCAGTTAGTTTTATTTAGGTAAATGTTACATAATGCATAATACTTGCTTTAGTTATTGGGAATAAAAGTTTTGGTTTGACCAAAAAATGAGAGACTTCATTTGTTCAAATAACAATCCTGCCTTGACCATTTATATTTCACAGAATAGGTTAAAAGATCAGAAAATCACTCTCTCCACATAAAAAAAAAAAATCTTTGCAAATAGTCTTAATTATTTACAGATGTGCAGATAATTAGCAGATGTGTTTGCTGGTATCTGAGGACAAAGATCAGATTGTTGAATGATTAACTCTATGAATCCCTGCTGAGAGAAAAGACGATGTAAACGAATGACCTTCATACAGAAGAACAACAGTGTGCTGCTGTGTTTCAGCGAGTCACTGAGAGTCGAATCTCTACACTATACGAGTCATTTTACTGTCTATAACATACATTAGGGTGACCATACGTGCCATTTTCCCAGGACGCGTCCTGGTGTTTATACATGCAACACATATGGCCATGATTATTCTTCCAGATGTTTTGGAGAGTGTTCATTTATTTGTACATTCACAACTCTAGAGATAATTAAATAATATGTATATTACTCCTGTGACATTTTCCAGCTTCTTTTCATCATTCCCTTTATTTCAGAGTTCGGAGTTCAGTTTGTTGAGCCAAACAGGTTTACTTTTACTAACCTTAAATACAACATGTGAACCCCATTACATATTATTGTTATCCTAAATAAAAACATTTTTAGAAGATTAAGGTTAGGGTTATTATTGCAGAGAACATTAATCTAAACATTGATAAAAGACAATCCACATCCACCTGAACACACACCTGTAACAAATAACTCATATTTTTCACTACTTTGTGGCGTATAAGAAATATACTGTATGTCGTAATATATTGTGTTGTGTATGTCTTCACTGGTCTCTGACATAAACCAAATCTGTGAGTTAGACTTCACTCATCTGCTTCTTTCAATCAGAAACCGCCATCTAGCGGCCAAACTGGGCAATGCTGTGCTGAACTGCTGTGTGTGTATTCAGGCAGATCACCATAGAAAGACATTTTTAGTTCTGAGGTTTAAACCTCATTAGGCAGCATCTAATATGACTGTCATGTTACAGACTAGAGTAGAAGAAAGAGTTCATTTAACACTAATTCAGTTCAACACTCAAATATCAGGTCTTAAGTCGCTGGGGGATATTTGTAGCAATAGCCAACAATACATTGTATGGGCCACAATTATACATTTCTCTTTTATGCCAAAAATCATTAGGATATTAAGTAAAGATCATGTTCCATGAAGATATTTAGTAAATGTCCTACCGTAAATATATCAAAACTTAATGTTTGATTAGTAATATGCATTGCTAAGAACTTCATTTGAACAACTTTAAAGATGATTTTCTCAATATTTAGAGTTTTTTGCACCCTCAGATTCCAGATTTTCAAATATTGTCCTATCCTAACAAACCATACATCAATGGAAAGCTTGTTTATCCAGCTTTCAGATGATGCATACATCTCAATTTCACAAAATTGACTCTTAAGACTGGGTTTGTGCTCCAGGGTCACATGTACTTATAGATCAATATTATCACTTGCTATACGTGTATGTTAAATCAACACCGCTATGAAAAACGTTCAGTTATCATTAGTTAGTTATGATTATCAATATAGTCCACATAAAGAGCGTATCTTATTGTTGAATTATTATCAGTATTATTCTCGGAAACAAAAGCAATAATTATTCCACAATTTTGATTTTGTGAACCAACAACATTACAGCAGCATCAGAGCGCTGGGTGTCTTTAGCACGCATAACTGTATTTTAATATTAATCGAATTGGGCCCACCAGGATGATTGTGAAAGAAAACTCTACTGTTTCTGTAGTCACGACACTTTCATGCGCGCCTGACTGACAGATAAACCGCACGCCTCAGAGCACGCTTTCTTTTCCCGTCGGCTCAGTTCAGTCAGTCACCGTGTTTCTCATCGACACAGCGTTGTTCATTCCTGAAGTCAACTTGTACTTTAACTGTTTTGAGCTGTGAGTTCTTCTAAACGCGTTTCTCCTGCGGTGTGTTAATGTGTGTCCTCGAAAGCGCGCAGATTTCCAACCCTTTTACTTTACTTCAGTGATATGACATATTTCAGATGCGTCCGAAATGACCAGAACATATACATGCATCTAACTGTTTGATCAAAATCACTGCTAGATCTACAGTACTGAGGCATCACGGGCCCTGTGTGTGAGACACAGAGAGAGTGTGTGCGTGGGTATTTAAAGAAAAATTGCTGTCAGTTCCAAGAACTAGATATAAAGCCAAAGACTCCAGAATAATGGAAGAGTTTGATCCTGAGCGTCGCTGGTTTACATCTTCACATTTTCCAGCCGTTTGATGATGACGAACTTGACGATTTTTACATTTATTATGTTAGCGTAAAAATATTTTTTTAAATTAAGAATATAAATAAAATAATTAAATAATTAGAATATTAACATTTTTGATTCAAGAGGCTTCAGCGAGTCAATAAATTCACAATGAGCCGATATACTTAATAAAATGTATGCATACAGAAGATTCAAATGAATACAATAGAACAAGTGATATACAATCTTTGAATGTTTTGTCTTCTGTATATCTTAATGCATTATTAATTCATACATTTCTCAAATTATCTTATAAGTCTGAGTTTTTGTGAGAAACATTTTGTACGAAAAGGAGCGCTGACAACACGATATTAATTCACGGATATCATCAGAGATCATTTCCAGAGACACTGCTTTATCTACAGTATATGTGTGCGCGTGCTGTTTCATCCGGACACTTCTCACAGTGACGCAGACGCAGAGCCGTAATGGCGGCCTCGCTCAGAATGCTGCGACAGGTCAGAATAACCTCCATACACAACACGCATGATATTAAACTGCAGCGTTAAACACGTTTGGCACTGACTGAGACGAAATGAACAGACTTGTGACGGATGCGCCAGCGGAACATTTCATAACAAACTACAGGACAGACGGGAATAGATTATTATAACGAAGCGTAATATTCATAGGAGAGATGCTCTTATTCTCAAACATGATTTATCCGTGTGTGTGTGTGGACAACACGATATTAATTCACGGATGTCATCAGAGATCATTTCCAGAGACACTGCTTTATCTACAGTATATGTGTGCGCGTGCTGTTTCATCCGGACACTTTTCACAGTGACGCAGACGCAGAGCCGTAATGGCGGCCTCGCTCAGAATGCTGCGACAGGTCAGAATAACCTCCATACACAACACGCATGATATTAAACTGCAGCGTTAAACACGTTTGGCACTGACTGAGACGAAATGAACAGACTTGTGACGGATGCGCCAGCGGAACATTTCATAACAAACTACAGGACAGACGGGAATAGATTATTATAACGAAGCGTAATATTCATAGGAGAGATGCTCTTATTCTCAAACATGATTTATCCGTGTGTGTGTGTGTGTGTGTGTGAGTGAGAGAGCGCGTGTGTGTGTGTGAGTGAGAGAGCGCGTGTGTGTGTGTGAGTGAGAGAGCGCGTGTGTGTGTGTGAGTGAGAGAGCGCGTGTGTGTGTGTGAGTGAGAGAGCGCGTGTGTGTGTGTGAGTGAGAGAGCGCGTGTGTGTGTGTGAGTGAGAGAGCGCGTGTGTGTGTGTGAGTGAGAGAGCGCGTGTGTGTGTGTGAGTGAGAGAGCGCGTGTGTGTGTGTGAGTGAGAGAGCGCGTGTGTGTGTGTGAGTGAGAGAGCGCGTGTGTGTGTGTGAGTGAGAGAGCGCGTGTGTGTGTGTGAGTGAGAGAGCGCGTGTGTGTGTGTGAGTGAGAGTGTGTGTGTGTGTGTGTCATATTCATCATTCATTAGTCCGACGGAAGACAGATCATTAGAGTTTGTCTCTGAAAGTCATGTGAATGTGGTGTTGATGGTGGTTGAGTTAGGTTTGTTTTGATTCACTAAACTCTTCATCAGCAGAACCAGTTTCTTCTGAAATACTTACATGAAGTCTAGCGAGATTCAAAGTTAATATTTCAATCATTTATAAAAATTCACCGTTCTCTGATGACAGTTAAGAAAATACTTTTTTGGTTAGTTTTCATATTTACATATTTATAAAGAGCTAATAATTAAATTATACAATTTATAATTTAAATAATTATTAGGTCTTTTATCAGCTCACATACCCCAGAGACATATAGAAGCTGTAATCCTGTGTGTAACAGTGCATGTTTGTGTGTCTGATGTTTGTGTCTCTGATGTTTGTGTGTCTGATGTTTGTGT